CTGCACTAGATGAAAGTGGATCAAAGTTTCGCAACTGAAATGGACTATCCAAGAACTGGGGATCTGCAAAACAGAGTACCATCAGAGCTGCCCGATTGAGTTTGGTCGGAAAATCGCTCCAACATGGGAATGAGTGATCAGAGAAGATGAAGGGCTCTCTCTAGGTGTAAAGAGAGAAAGAGAAGTGTGTTTTGACTTTTGTTGAGTTAAAATAATCTAAGATAAGTTACGTTCAATCTGAAGAGAGTGTTACTTATATAGAACACATTACTTGTTGCCCAAGATGGTTTTCATAGAGTTTAGGTGCGTCAAGGCTTCCTTTAGTATTGCCCAATATGGAGGACCACAAGGTAGTTGACCTGGAGATATGTGCTCATTATAACCATGCATATAACAAATCACATTCTCTTTGTTAATTGTTTCCATAATTCTAGGAAGGGACGACTAGATGAGGTGGCAGCCTACACATGCTATAGATACCCCATTTTTAACTGCCCTTAAGACTTGGGCGCCATTGATTGCTTACTTGATGGTGAATGTTATGTTGTGCAAAGGTTCGATTTCTTCGACAAGAGGAGCTCCAAATCCTAACCTCACACCCCATTTTTGGACCAAAACTATTTTGACTAAAATGATTTTAGGCCTTAAAACCCTCTCTTTCAAAATATTTTTGAAAAAAAAAAAGTTTCCATGATGTTTTGAGGCTCACATTTCGTTAAATGTTGTGTTTTTCGGTAAACCGAGCAAGGACAAAGTGGAAGTAAATGAAAGAGAGGTGAAATCTTTGAAAAATATTTAAAAACATCTTATTTAGGGGTTTGGGGTTGAAGAAAAGAGGAGAGGAGGGAAGAAAACTAGCTGAGAAGAAGTTAGGCATGAATCCGGGTAGGACCGAAACTGAGCAGTTTCACTAAAATAAGCATGTCTTCTTACACACTTGGAATTTTGATGTGAGGCTACCACCATTGGAAAGAATACTTCCAGGGTTTCCATTTAGGCTCAAGAATGACCTGTAAAAGAGTCCAGATGAAGGAGATATGCCCGTTTGAAGTTGGACTTGGAGAGCAGATTTTTCTAGCCGGCCAGAGATGGAAGTTGCTGGCCATGGATGGGCTTTGACGGCCATGTGCCGGCCATGGGCCGGCCAGGAGTGTTGTTTTTCGGCCATCAATGATGGCTTGCCGGCCATTGGTACAAAAAAACAATTTTCTACAGATATTTGTCTTCCAACTGTTCTAATTGTCCATTTTGAGATATTTTCAACCTGAGCTCTCATTTTTCTATATATAGAGGACCTTCTATATTGTTTTCAAGGTTAGAAAGATTTTGGGGAGCCTCTCTCTTTACAATTCTCTCACTCTAGATTTCTCTCTCTTGAACCTTTGTGCATAAAAGTAGAGATACACTTCTAGTTTGCCTATCAACCCTTAATCAAACTTGACCACCTTTGGGCTGAGGTCTCTTGGAGTCTTGTTTGAGCTCTAGAAGGAGGTTTGAACTTGGATTTGTGCCTAAGTTGTGCTTTGCTTCAAAGTTATAACACTTACCTTATTTAAGCTTATTTTGCATACTTATTTTCCCATCTTCTTCTACTGTTTTTGGCCTGGTTTTCAACTACAAAAACCTCTGTTTTTATGACCTAAAAATGGTGGTTTGAGGTTACTTTGTGTTAAGGGGTAGTTCACCCTTCTTGTCTCTTTATTTGTTAAGCTTTTGTGCCCTTTATTATCACTTTCAAACCAACTTTTTTAGGCCTCTTAACCACTGAATTTCAGAGATTTTTAGTGGCAAAAATCTCATTTTGAAGTCCAAAATTAGAGGGGTTAGCCTCCCCTCCTTGTGTCTTGTTTGCATGCTTAATTAGCCTTACATGTTAGCATGTTTTTCTAACTTAACTTAGCTTAAGCCTAGCATGTTTTAGCCTCTGAAATAGCCTGCTTTAGCTCTGTTTTGGGTTGTTTGGTTCATTTGAACTTTGTTTTGTGTAGTTGTAGTGTAAATCCTTACACTAGTTTGTTATTTTAAGGCTTTAAACATCATGGGTTTGAGTTGATTGCATGTTTGAGTACTTTTAGTACTCATTTTCAGCATCTAATCATATCTGGAACCTCCCCTCTTCCTTGGTTTTATCTTTGTTTTGAAAGTGGTTTAAACCATTTGCTTTTTTAAAGCATGAGATTGAGATGTTCGTGCTTGATGGTTTAATCCCTTTTGGGGTTCATTATCAACGACATGAGGTCTTTTTCATGCCTAAAACAACCTTTGGTTTGAGCTTTCTTTCTATTTAGAGGACACTCACCAATGGACAATTGATTAATGAATGGTTTGGTGATTAAAATGAGTAAACAAAATTGACAAGGAAAAGAGGCAAGGTAAGCATTCTTTGTGTTGCATTGCATGTGTTCAAATCAGACGTTAATTTGAACATAAGGCAAATGGGAGTTTTTATACTCAATAGTGAAGAAATGTGCCATTTTTATAGGTCTGCATTGCCCTTTATCATGCATGATAGGGTGATGGACATTTTGAGTCTTGTTTTTGCATTTATCGAACTTGCACAATTGGTTTCACAAGCCATCATGCAATGAAATTGCTTGATTGGTGGTTTTGTGAACCAAGTCTTGTCCCTCCTTTGATTTCTCCATGAAAAGAAGAGACAAGGTGTGTAGACAATCCTTGGAAAAACCCCATTTTTGTTCTGTTTGTGCTCTATTGCAACATGGTAATCCAAAGCATCAGTGGCCAATAATGCCTCATTTCTGGCTGGCAAGGCATCCTTTTGGCCGGCAAGGGACCGACAGCAACCTCTTATGGCCGGCAGGCCACTGGTGTGATTCTCAGCAGAGATTTGGTAAATTGGAGCAGAAAGTTTCTAGAATATGCTCAACCCTGCAAACAGAGCCTCCCGGGAGCAAAACAGAGGACTTTTCAGGGCGAAAACCGAGCGTATGCATCTTCCACTTCCTGAAGCATAGTAGTAGTAGCATAGTTTGATGCTTTGCATGATTAGTTAGTTTGTATTTGTTTTAATTAATTAGTTTACTAGTTGATTAAAGTGTTGTAATAATTAGTAATTAGTTTGCTAGTTATTCGATTGATTTGTAATAATTAGTCTAATTAGTTTAGTTAGCTTAGCTTAGCTTAGCTAGCTAGCTTATTCATTCGAACCTTTCTTCGCGAGGGCGTAATGTTGTAATAAGTGTGCGTGTATGCGTGCATGTCTTCCAACCCCGCGTCTTTCTCCCTTTTATTTAATCGCTTTCGATGGTTAGATTAGGGGCATTTTCAATTAGCATATCTTATGATCGCATGTTTGCATCCATTCATTTGTCTTGCATGCACCGAGGCTCGGTGCATCATTCAAACTGCATTGTCGTTTCAATAATTCTTTAAATACGTGTTTAATCGCATGTTGTTCAAATTGAATCATATGCCATATTAGTAGCCGAGCCTATTAATTTCATATTGTATGTGTTGCATTAGGCATCTTGTATAGTTAGGATCATGCATTTTTCTAACTAATTTTTTGTTTTGGCTTGGAGTACTCGGTGAGTTTTATGCTTTAGCATATTTGCATGAGTGTAATTGCCATATTGCCATGATTTGCATGCTTATCATGAGGTTATGTGCTTAAATGCTAAACTGCATGAATGCCTGTGGATGAAGGCTTGTTGTTTGAATTGGAACAATTCAACAAATGTAAGTTTTAAGCCCACTTTGTTTGTGACAAATCATGTTTTAAGCCCACTATGTTTGGTGGCAAATCCGCATCTTTAAGCCCACTTGAGGGTGACAAATTCAAACTATTTTTGCAAAACAAACATGAGTTGACTTGTTCAAATTCTTGCGATTTTAGTTTATACTTGCTTGTGCGCATCACATAGTAAAGCTAGTTTAATAATCAGAATAAGAACACATAATGTTTATAAGAAAGTATATCATGATTAGTAGAGGCCGATCTTTGATCGAGCAAGCGGGGGTGCTCATTTCAGGACCTTCCCCTCTCGTACCTAAGTTTCTGAGCCGAGACAACTTTGGTGATGACGGAGACGTGGCCTTTGGCACGAGTCAGAGTTTTCTAAATATCTCCAAAAATAAAAAATTTAGGTGGCGACTCTGTAATCTGGCAAAGCAGTCCAATTTTGGCATTATTTGATTTAAAATCGATTTTCCAAAAAGGGTTTGCTGGATTTGGACTCTTTGGTGATTATCAGTTTCACATTGTACTTGTGAGACTAGATTTAGAACCGCGGGAGTCCGAACTATGAGGCATTCTTTTCAAACACTTTTCGAAAGGCGGGGCGCGGAAAAAGGTGAGCCCACACATACATGTATTCACAACTTCCATATTTCTCTATGAAGTATCCTCAGCTCAATTCTGATGTACCTCAGCTTAACCTTCCATGAGATTGTTTGTAGAGATGGGCTGGCCTATCTAGATAGCTTTATGTGGGCTTGGCCTATTTTGTTCTGATGATGGGTTTGGCCCATCAATTCGGTCTAGGAATTATGTTCAGCAGTTCAACCCAACCCAGCATCGTGGCTGAGCAGACCTTTCCTGTGCGTGTTGAGCCTAAGTGACATGGGGGGATCATTCTTCATGAAAATGGGCTCAATAGATTGGCCCATGTATTTATTTGGCCCACACTTGGGTTTGGATTTAGTGATTTGGACCGATCCAAGGCTTGAATCCGACTTATTTATATTTTGTCCTTTCACTAATCATAAAAGTACATTAAAAAAAAAAAAACTTATTTTTGGCTTTAGTCAATTTTGTTTAGATTTAAAAAAAAAAGTGTTTGATATATCTTTTCCACACCAGATGAAAAAAAAATTACTAAAAACAAAAAGAAAAATAAATAAATTAAGCTAATCGCAAACTTTACTAATCTTTTAAAAAGGATTTAACTGTATACTAATCTTTTAAAAAGGATTTAACTGTATATTTCCTCCCCAAATTTTATTGAAAACAGACTAGTTTCACCTTTTGACCAGACCATCCTCTAAGAACAAACAAATCAACAGAAATACTACTGCTGTGATTGAATCTCAGAATCACAACCTACCAGTTCTATCCTACTACTCTGATTACCACACGAAATCTTATAGACCCAGAAAGTTAGAGAGAGAAAGCGACGGCGATACACTACACACACCCCCATAATACCCTACGCTACGCACTCTGAAACCTAACGGTCTTTGCCTTGGCACACGGTTGAATTCGAAATTTGTTCCAATTTCTTCTGTATATTCAATCATATATTCAGTAATTTTCTGGAATTTGGTCAGTTTTGCCCTAGTTTTGGTATCGTTATCGCTAAGATCAGAATGAGTAGAGTTCATTTTGCTGTCGGAGAATCTGGGAAGAGAATTGAGGATTGTGGAGTGGAAGTGTATAGATTGAGACATTGTTATTTTAGCTGTGTGTATTATGTGTATTTGATGAGTTTTATGGTGTGAAGATTGAGCTGAGGTCTAAATGAGCTCCGAAAAGCCGGCGGTGACGGTTCGGGACCTCGTGGAGGAAGCCAACAAGCGGATCGTTTTTCTGATTATTTGCGTCGTTGGACTTTCTTATCTCATGTCTTGTAAGTTTTGGGTACTTTGTTTCACTAAATTTTGGTAAAAATTATCGTTTTATTTGGTTCCATTGGGTTTTTATTTTTGGGTTCTGAATTGTGCATTGAATTTCTGAGCTAATTTGGTTGATAGTAATTTTCTTCAATTGAGTTTGTGAAGTTTTTGTTCTGTGTTGTTGACTACTCATTCATATTATACTTGTGTGCTTTCAGCTTAGTGTTTTGACTGTCTTTATTTAGTGTAAAACACATTCTGGCATTCTGTTTAATCGCAAATTGGGTTGTGTTTTATTCGGTTCACTGGAATGGAAAGGAATAGCCATTCTCTTACCATAGTAATGATAATTTTTTGGGGAAATTATAAAACCGAACTCCATAGTTTGACTCTTGTAGCAAAATAAACTTTCAATTTTTAATTTTTTTCAATTTGAATCTTAATCTTTTGATATAGTTTTATTCTGAACTATTTGCCTTTTTCCATTAAATTAAACAGACAAAAAAATAGTTTTTTAGCTGTTAAACTTAATGAAAAAGAATATTTTTGACAAAATAAAATGAGTAGGGTTTAAAATGACAAAATTAAAACCTCAGCGTTTTATTTATTTTATTTTATTTTGTAATTTTCCCAAATTTTAATTTTAATTTTTTTGTCAACCTCAAACATGGAAATGAAATTTTTGATGGAATGATCATTCCATTCTAGTGAACTAAACACTACCTTATTGTTTTAACTGTCTTTATTTAGTGTAAAACAGGCTCTGGTATTAAATACCAAATTCTGAATTTGGCTGTGCTGAGATTTTCTTGTAATCGAATTTTATTTCTTCATGTCTCAAGGCACTTGGTGACGTGCTCGTTATAGTGTTTGCAACAGTGTTAGGTATTTAGAACTTGTTTACTAGATCCATTTTTGGTTTGAATAAATAAATAAATAAAATAAAGGAGAAATAAATCTTGACATGTACATAGTGTGAAGAGAGTAATATGCCTTTCAATTTATTGGTGACGAAGTCTATTTATTTCATATATGAAAACAATGACTTCCATTGTTAAATGAATGATCAAGATATAATGGGTATGTTTGGTTTGGGAATTTTTTTTTAAAAAACTTGTTTGGTTTGTAATTTTTCCAAAATAATTTCCAAAATCACTTTCTTTCTTTTATACATCAATCAATTACTTTTTCTCTCTCTTCTCTCCTTCTTAATCACTTTTTCTCTCACACATATCTACTCAATTACAACAAAATATCAAATCATTCCAAACTCCAAAACTACTTTCAAAATATACAACCAAACAAACCAAAAAAATTTCTACCCCAAAACAATTTTTAAAAACTACTCTCTCGAAACCAAACCAAACATACTCAATAGCTTTGGTTAGTGGCAATTTTCAGAGGTCAACTGATAATGGTGAACTACAGAAGCTTGCATATTTTATAACAAATTTAGTGATCTATCTGTGGTAAGTTCTAACCCTCATGCTGTATATCCATTTGTATTTGAAATGGGCAGCTAAGATAATGTTGTGACTCCTCATCCTTGTATTGTCATCTTTCTTTGTCCATTTCACTTTTCTGATTTTTCAAATAAGCCAATAGAAATTTCGAAAGGAGAGTGAAAAAAACAAAAAAAAGTCATCTGTGGAAGTTGATGAACAAGTGACTGTGTTTGTGTTAGGTGCTTCAATTTGCAAGTTTGTCAACTGGCAGCCAAGCAAAGCTTGAACAGAAACTCTTAAGTTCAAGACAGCTGGGGACTAATCTCAAATGCTTGTATTTTTGACCAAATCAGGCCCCAATAACCAATTAATTGCCTTGTCTAGTTGCAGTCCTGGTTGGGTTTTTCAGATTCTGTAAATGATCAGATTTTTAGGGCAACAGTTGCTAATAGGACAGCATATGAGACTTTGTTACATTTACAATTTCACCTGAAACTTCTACTTGAAGGGTTGATTTTGTTTCATTAAATTCTGAAACGTACAAATCTTAGGACCAAATATTGTGATTCTTCATATGGTGGGTGGTGGGGAGAGAGAGATCAGCTTATTTCTTCTTTTGGTTCTTTATTGATTGGCAGGAGAAATCAGCTTATTTCTTTTGATTCTTATTGACTATTGATTGTCAGGAGCAATCAGCTCATAGATAGATGTATAGGTTGGCCCTTTTTTTTTTGGCCTTTTTCAAGTTGTCGCCCCCTTGTAGGTCTTAGTGGATTTTATCTACCATCAAGAAGGAAATTGCCTCTCCTTTTTGTTCTTTGTGATGCAATGTTGTCGAATTAAAAGGTGGTTGTCTTGAGGCTGGGTGCCTCTTTTTGTCAACTTTCCTAGTTGTTACTGTTGAATATAGAAATTAGAGTGCATAGAATTTTTTTATTTTTAATATTATGTATATAATCTGTAATTGTGTCGATCATTGATTTAGTATTATTTCCTTATTGATATCGTTTTCTAATTTGTATCATGAATCTATTATATATACATGACCTCTATCTCATTCATGGGTAAGCTAAATAATTCTTTTCATTCTTTTTGGTATTAGAGTTAGGTTAAGTACCTTGTAATTTTGCTTCACCGGCAGCCTTGCCTTGGCTGCCTGCCGAACCTTAAGCCATTCCATTGCCATATTTTCTTTCAGTATCACTCGTGGTACTCTCTTCCTCTATCTACTAAGTTATTCCTATCCCAAATATTTCTATCATATTTTTTTTACTAGCAATATATTTTTTTGTGTGTCTCTATTCCACTTTGTCTTTTCTTCTATTTCAATCTCAAATAGGTTTCTATCTTCAAACCTATTTGAGTTTGAGAGGGGGGGCATTATACCTATATCATGGTGAGTATGGTGATATACCATGTGAACCATCTAAGCCGTCTCCTCTGGCGCATAACCCAAGTTGCTCCTTTGGCGCACCACCTAAACCGCCTCCTCTAGTGCACAATTAAAGCCGCTCCCTCTGGTGTACCACCAAAGCCGGCCCCTGGCACACTTTCTAATATGCCGCCCCTTGGTGTACTTTCTAATAAGCTGCCCCTTGGCGCACTCAGTCATTTGTTGCCATCATCGTTCAGCATCACGTCATAAGTTATGTGTGTTTCATGCTTGTTGGTTTAACATCCAGTTATCTACATCGGTCTAACATGATCCCTTAAACTGTCTCGACATTGATTCCGGTTAATTCCTACAATGGTCCGGCATGACCCTTTAAACTGTCCCAACATTGATTCCAGTCAGTTTCTTCTAGGGTAGTTCAATCTCTTTTTTTTTTTTTTCCTTTTTAGGGTATGGTGTTGATGTATTAAGCACTTTTTGCCCTTTTTTATTTAGTGGACTACCAAATTTGTTTGGTAGCATTTGACTAGTCGTTGAGTTTTTTTCGGCGCTGATGTATTAATCACTTTTTTGGCATTTTTTATTTAGTGGACTACCAGATTTGTTTAGTAGTATTTATTTGGACTAGCCATTGAGTTTTTGCCGGCTTCTTTCAGTCATCTGTTGGCAAGCTGCGATTGTTGAATATCTTCACACCGGCTTGAGGGGGAGTGTTGAATATAGAAATTAGAGTACATAGAATCTTTTTATTTTTAGTATTATGTATATAATCTGTCAATTACTGATGTAGTATTGTTTCCTTATTTATATCGTTTCCTAAATTGTATCATGAGTCTATTATATATACATGGCCTCTACCTTATTCGTGGGTGAGCCAAATAATTCTTTTCATTCTTTTGTTATTTCTGGTTTATTATGCTTCAAATTTATTTTTTACACATGCATTTTTGGTCTTGTTTTCTTTGTTCTATTGTCATGAGTTGCAACTCACTACCCCATGTTTCAGTGACAAGCGCCTCAGTGTGGGTCAATTTTCCCTTTGCTGCCTTCTTAATAATCATCCTTCGCTATTTGTCTCTGGACTTTGAGATGCGGAAGAAAGCTGCAGTATACAAGGGCAAACCAACCTCATCAAATATTTCTTCTCAACAGAAACCTCTGGAAGGTCCTAAAGCTGTGGTTGAGAAGTCTGACTGGAGAAGGAAAGTGGATTCCCCCGCCGTTGAGGATGCATTGAATCAGTTTTCAAAACATATAGTTTCTGAGTGGGTGACAGATCAGTGGTACTCCCGCATAACCCCTGATAGACGAGGTCCAGAGGAGTTGGTGCTGATTATAAATGGTGTTCTTGGAGAAATTTCATCTCGCATGAGGAATGTAAATCTCATAGATCTTCTGACAAGGTTCTAATTTGAGTGGTGTTCTTTATACATTTTCCAATTTTTTGGTTATTTTTTATTTGGAAGTGCATTTACTAGTAAATGTTTTGCCTGGGATGATGCAGGGACATAATTAATATTTTCTGCACTCACTTGGAGCTTTACCGTGCAAGTCAGTCAAAGATTAAGAAGCAGCAACTTGGATCACTGACTTATGAACGTCAAGAAATGGAACTAAAATTTGTGCTGGCTGCAGAGAACAAATTGCACCCCGCACTTTTTTCTGCTGAAGCAGAGCACAAGGTCCTTTACATCATTTCTTGATCTTCATATAACATTTAGTCTGTAGTTCTGTAGATCTTTCTACAAGTCTCAAAGCATCTCGCTTTTTCATCATAGTTATGATTCTTGTTTGTTCTTCAGGTTCTCCAACACTTAATGGATGGTCTCATATCGTTCACATTCAGACCGGAGGATTTGCAGTGCTCTTTGTTCCACTTTTTTGTTAGAGAGCTTCTTGCTTGTGTAGTAATGCGAGCAGTGTTGAACTTAGCAAACCCAAGGTAAATATTACTATTGTTTTGCTTTTGTGGTTTTACCATGTCCTTTTTCTGGTTTTTATATTTTCTTCAATTGTTATGTGGTCAGGTTTATTAATGAAAGGATTGAATCTCTAGTTATTTCTTTAAGCAAGGCTAATAAAGGAGCTACTACTGCACAAGTGGCATCCCAGTCTAGATCAAATGTGTCTTCAAAGATTTCATCTGATCATTTCTCTCGGTTTCTAGATCCTTCTGTTAAGGGTGTTGAGCTTGTGCAATTTAAAAAGGATCAATCGAAAACTGCTGAAGAGAAATCTGTGACAGCCAATGTGAATGGAACACTTTTTTCGAAGGATCCCTTGCTTTCCATGAATACTAGATCGACCCGTTCTTGGAGTTCTTTGCCATCCGACTCTCGTAATGGTGATGGAAAAGATATTGAACGAAACCACTCTGGAGGACAGTGGAGTGATATGATAGATATGATTTCTCGCAGAAAGACTGAAGCCCTTGCTCCAGAGAATTTTGAAAATATGTGGACTAAAGGGAGAAACTACAGAAACAAGGAAGGTGCAAATCAAGCTAGCCAGCCAGACATGAAAAATTCTTCAGCAATGTGTAAAACAGCAGATAATTCAAAGGCAATGCTCAAGCAAAAAGAAAAGCATGGTGCAACCAAGATTAGTTCCCCAACTTCCCCTGAGAGCGCTGCGGTTATTTCTAGACTTGATTATCAGCCTGTGGCAGACAAGTTGTTGACCCATGATGATCGGAACATATCAAGTCAGGCTTCTGCTACTTCATATTTAGAAGATGATGAGCATGATCTCATGCGTTTGGAGGAGGTTGAATCAGGGAGCAGTTCTTGTACTAGTGAAGATGAAGAATCCAGCAGTGTGACTGGTCTTGATTCTCCTGTCACTAAAGTTTGGGATGGTAAAAATAATAGAAATCTCTCTGTCACGCACATTCATCATCCACTTGAAGCTTCTGAAGGCCATAAGACGAGGAAGACTGGTAAAGGGCAAGCACACTCTAGATTACATAGGATACAGCCTGGGAGGAAAAGGTCTAGATCAAGCAATAAGAAGTTACACGTCTGGCAAGAAGTTGAGAGAACAAGCTTCTTATCAGGAGATGGGCAGGATATACTGAATTCGTATAAAGGACATGTGAAATCGGAGGACTCTGGTGATGATTATGAGGCAGAAATGTTGGGTAGAATTCACAGTGGAGCTACTGCTTCTTCATCTGCGTCCTCAACTTCCATACCCAAAAGTCATAATTTGGCTGACGATGCTAAAAAAAACTTCTTGTTGGAAAAATCTTTTTTGAAGTTAAGATGTGAGGTACTTGCCATGATACTTTATACTTTCTATTCATTTCTGCAGGTTAAAACTTTTCCTGATATGTTGAAACATGTAAAGGGTGTCATGTCATTTCCTTTTGCAGGTATTGGGTGCCAATATTGTAAAGAGTGGCTCTAGAACATTTGCTGTTTATTCTATATCCGTTATGGATATAAATAATAATAGTTGGTCTATCAAAAGAAGGTGCTAATGATAACCTTGTTCTCTTGTCGTATTCTCCTTTTACATGCCTTATTTGTGCAATGTTGTAATGTATTATATTGTGATGGTTAATAATTATTAACTTTTCCGACCTTTTTAACTTAACTATATTTTTGCTTCTCATAGGTTTCGGCATTTTGAGGAACTCCATCGACGTCTTAAGGAGTTTCCAGAGTATAATCTTCATTTGCCACCGAAGCATTTTCTGTCAGCAGGTCTAGATGTGCCTGTCATTCAAGAACGGTGTAAATTGCTTCATCGGTATTTGAAGGTCATAAAGTTACTTGAACTTATTTTTTTTCTCTTGTTCTTCTTCATTTTGGAGGGTGGTTTTTCATTTTGAACATGGGATCATGCATATATTACTAGGAAGCAGTTTGTCGGCTTCAACTTGCCCACTAGTACTTGGAGAGGTAAACTTGGTACCAATAGGCTATAAGGTGTGTAGAATTTTCTATTTCCCTAGAATTTTGGATTTTATCAGTAACCACCCTGTCATGCAATAAACTTGTGAATATTTATGGATATTTATTTAGGCCAAATGTGGAGAAGCATTGGAAGAATCATCTCATAGGTCAATTGCAAGTCAATATATTGCATCTCCTAAATTTTAAAGAGAGACATTCATTTTGGAAGGAGGGAACAATATATGATCTACACATCTCGATTTCAACCAAGGACACTAAATTTTTTTCTTTTTTTGTTGATCAACAACAAAGAAATTTATTAATGAACAAAAGGAAATGAGGACAAGGCATCCTCTACAAAGAAGATAAAAAAATGAAGAAAATACACAACCCAAGACAAGGCTCCATCAAAATCCTTCTACATATCACACACCGATAACCAATGAAGCACGGACACGGACACGCGACACGACACGGACACGTAAAAACGCAAATTTTCAAAAAATAGGGGACACGACACGCTAGGGACACGTTCAATATATTTAATTTTTTTTGTATATTATATGTAAAATTAAAAAATATATACTATTTTATATGTAAAATTAGGCATCGATTATATATTATATGTAATAATAGTAATAATATATACTATTCAAGTCTTTTTTATATATTATATGTAAAATTAAAATTTCATTTATTATATGTAAAATTAAAAAATATATACTAATTTTATTTTGTGAATTTTAAGTTTAACAAAAATAAAGATAAAAAAATAAAAAAGAAAAAAGAAAAAAAAAGAGTGAAGGAAATAAAAAAAATAAAAGAGGAGAGAGAGAGAGAAACGGGTGAAATAAAAAACAGAAGGGAAAGTGAAAGGGGGAAGTGAAATCAGAGAGGGAGAACAGTCGAAGTCGAAGAAGAGGAAGGAGAAGAAGATGGAGACGAAGAGGACGAGGCGAAGAAGAAGAAGAGAGCAGACAAATACCTCAGCTTCTTCGTTGATCTGAACAGGTTAGGCTCCTCTCTTCTCCTCCCTCTATCTCTTTCTCTATCTCTGTCTGTCTCCTCTCATCTCCTCCCTCGATCTCTGTCTTCTCTCCTCCCTTGATCTCTTTCTCTGTCTCCTTTTCTCCCTCGATCTCTTTCTCTCTCTGTCTCTTTCAGTTAGGGTTCTCTCTTTCAGTTAGGGCTTCGATCCACCTCAGGCGTGTCCGCAAAGTGTCACAGCGTGTCCATGGCGTCTCCGACTGCAAAAATTCAAAAAAAAAAAGGAGGACACGTTAGAGAGAGTGTCGGACACGTGTCCACTGCGTGTCCGTGTCCGACACGTGTCCGACACTCGTACGCCGGCCCTGAGGACGTGTCGGTGCTTCATAGCCGATAACCAATCGCTAGCTAACAAAAAAAGTGTAATCCCTCTAAAAAGAGGATTCACCAAAGCCCAAAAGGAAGTTAGATGACAAATTTTATCCCATAAAAATTTCACATTCCAATATTTGTCTTCGAAAACCCGCGTATTCCTTTCCAATCAAATTACCCAAAAAGTTGCAAAGACGACGCAATACCACAACACTTTGGCCCTCTTCTATCCACCCAAAGCTTGAGGCCACCCACATAATATTCTTCAAAAGAAACAATCTATGCCATAAACTCAAAGCAACTGGACAATGCAAAAATAAATGATCTGAAGATTCACCATCTCTACAATACATGATGCACCATTGCAGATTTAGAGAATGATTAGGTCTCTTTTTTTTGCAAAATATCATTTGTCACGATACCTTCCATGAACCAAGTACCACAAGAACACCACCTTAAGAGGAGCACAAGCCTTTTAAATTCTTTTATTGAAAGGAAACTAAAAAACTTGAGGATTATCGATGATTGTCAAAAAATGACTTGTAGGAAAAAATATCTGATGAATGAAGAGCCCAAATCCTCTTGTCCTCCAAAAGAGGAAACAAAGAAATATGATTAACCCTTGAGAACAAAGACATCAACTCTTTAGCCTCCCTATCATTAAGATACGTAAAAAAATTGAAATTCTAAGAAATTGGAGCCAAAAAGGAACAAGCTATGGAAGCAATAGAATAATTATGAGACCAGGCCGCTCTATATATATGTGGAAAACCTGAAGCAAAGGAAGAGAAGCCCACCTAAACATCGTCCCAGAATCTAACAAGTTCCCCATTACCCACTCCCACAAAAAGATAATGGCCCTGTTTGGTAGGGCTTATTTCAAGCTTATTTCAGTTTTTAACTTAATTTATGTTATTTTGATGTGTTTGGTTCAGCTTAACAGTACAGCTTATAGCTTTTTGTAAGTCAAAAACTAACTTATTCTTTGAGTGGGGGAGGAGAAACTTAATTTATAAGTAAAAAACCAGGTTATGTTCATAACTATAAGCTATAAGCTGTTAGGTTATAAGTTATAATCATTTTCCCACAGCTCTACCAAACGGGGCCAATGAGACCAAATTGGATAGAGGTGAGAAATTGACTTCCAAAGAGCATGACAACTACCCCTAATGACCACTTGTGAATCCCTACCATTACTCTGAGTCCCACACTTTCTTCTAATGACAGAATGCCATAGTGAATCACATTCATTTGGAAATCTCTATAACCACTTGCCGAGTATTGCCATGTTCCTAGCCACAATGTTACCAATGGCCAAATTCCCTTTCTTTTTTGGGAAGGAAACTATCTCTGGTTCACCATATGATCCTTCTTACCCTCATCCTTACCTTCCCAGAGGAAATCCCTCATCAATTTTTCAAGTGACCTTGCAACCTTACTGGAATCTTAAACAAAGATAAAAAATAAATGGGAATGCCACTTAAAACTGTCTTAACCGGGGTATATCTACCCCCACATGAGAGTAAATCCTTGCTTCACCCTCCCAACCAAAGATACTAATACATAGCTTTCAATCGAGAGTTTGATTAGAATACTTGTTTCTTGATTTTCTTGTCATGACGCCATTATTGATTGATTCTACCACACTGATTGTTAATCACTCACATGCTTTAATATGCTGTAGTTGACTACTTTCTTCTTATTGAGATTCATCTTGTATTATTCTGTTTGGTTAATTAACTACTCATGCTCTGTTTGTTATATTGTGGTAATGCCAGAAGCTATAATATATCCATCACTGCATGATTCTTTAAAATAGGTCTGGGTGGGGTTTACCCATCAGAAATAAGTCCACTTCCATATTAGTACTCAATATGTGATGTAATATTTTTTGTTTGTCTTGATACGTTTTTCTTGTTTCTTCTACATCTCTTTCATTGACTCATTCATATGTTACCATTCCTCAGAAGCTTCTTCAGCTACCAACTATATCAGGATCAATTGAAGTTTGGGACTTCCTTAGTGTTGATTCCCAGGTTGGTTGGTTTGTTCTTTTAATTCTTTTATGGTTCCTTGTTGGGAAGAAGTCACGCCATCTTTGTTTCATGGATAATTTTCTGATTACTTTGTTTTGCAAAGTGCAGACATATATATTCTCAAATTCTATATCTATTATTGAGACCTTGTCAGGTGAATTGTGTTTCTTGGCAGCATTTTCATTTTTTTTTTCAAATAATTTTTTTGCCACTTGTGTCTACTATTTTCACATTATTGTCTCATATTGTTGTGGAATTTTCTAGTTGGCCTAGATGATACACCACATGAAAGAGGAAAAGAAGTTCAGAATGCTCTTGGGCCATCAGTAAATCCCTTTTCCTCCCGGACAGAGCATCAAAATACTGAAAGCAAGGAATTTCCACGTAATTTTGTGGCAGGTGGATCAAGATTGAATACACAAGGTGCTATTCATTCTCCACAAAAAAAGCCCGCAAAAGAATTTAGAAAGCCATTTGATGATTTGACTAGTGACTCTGATAATGCGGAGCAAAGGAATGTATCTCTGACCGGAAATTCCATAATAGGAAGAAAATGTGCTGATGTACAAGCTTTATCCCCGTCACTTATTGATGCTGCTACTGATCCAACGCTCCCAACCGAGGTAATCACTTTTATTTTTTGGATCTTGTTCAAGTTTATACTCTAATATTCACCTTTGGGAACGGCTTTGTCATATTGTACTTATTCTGGTTCAAAGTATGTGGCATCCTGCCCATTTATGTTCTACATGGGTTTTGAAATCTTTCTTTATTCAATGCAGTGGGTAACACCAAATCTAAGTGTCCCCATATTAGATTTGGTTGATGTTATTTTCCAGGTCCAAGATGGTGGATGGATCAGGTATTTGATGTCTAATTGCCAAATTATGTTTAAAATCATCTTGATTGTTCTTTTATTTTTTGTTTTTGTTTTGGATAAACTCTATCCAAGTATATTCAGTTTGCCAAATTTTTCCTGATGCTTAATTCTAGTCAATCACAGGAGGAAGGCTTTTTGGGTGGCCAAACAGGTATTACAACTGGGAATGGGTGATGCCTTTGATGATTGGTTGATTGAGAAAATTCAGCTTTTGCGTAGGGGATCAGTGGTTGCTGCAGGGATCAAGCGGATTGAGCAGGTTATCTTTGAGAAACTTCTTGAATTAAGTACAATATGCCGATTTAACTTTTGCTCAATTATTTGTATGAACTCTGCTATGCTTGAATTTTCGTGATACCAGGTAGTATAAAACAGAATTCAGGTTTTCTGCTGGTTTTGACTTTCATTTGCCAATTCATAATTAAATGCGCTCGTTTTTCCTTGCACTCAGTTTTGAACAAAGACCACCTACCTTGTGAGTATTGCCTTGTTGGGTTAGATAAATAATTTTTTTTGCTTCCAATGTTACCTAGTTAGATTGATGGTCACTGTTATTTTCCCTTTTACTTGCTTGAGTACAATTTCTTTGACCATTTAAACTCCAGTCTCCAATACTGAATTTAGATGGCCAAAGTTGTTTGATATGAAATGAACTGAAAGTTTTATGGTCCATGCATATTTGTTTGGAAGCATACTCTTAAATGAGGTTAACCGCAAGGATGATTGATATGTTTGCTATATTTGTTTATATGAGTGACACGAGCCTTGAACCTGACTGATGTTTTTGAATTTGTTTGAGAGCTTATTGTAACCAATAGGCATGCCAGTCACTTGGATTCCAATATGATCCTCAGCATTATTTATGTAGATACTTTGGCCTGATGGAATATTCTTAACAAAGCATCCAAAGCGAAAACGACCAAACGCTTCTGGAAGCACACCCCAAAGTTCACCTCATGGCCGACCTCCGATGCCTGTATCCTCACCTAAGAAAGAGGATATCCACAATTTGGATGAACAACAACAAAAGGAAGCTGATCGGCGTGCAAAATTTGTATACGAGCTAATGATTGGTAATTTTACTTTCCCATGGATTTTAAGGCTACATTTTATTGCATTGAAGTTCCAATTGCCACTCTTGGATATGTAAGCAAACCCTGTTAATCGAATGCAGATAATGCACCAGCTGCTGTTGTGGGTCTTGTAGGTCGTAAAGAGTATGAACAATGTGCTAAGGATCTCTATTACTTTCTTCAGGTGATTTTCATCTCTATCACTTTCATTGTGATAAACAAGCTACTCGGATTAATCTATCTCAGAATTTACTATATCAAGTTATCTAGTGGGTTATTTAAACACCTTTAAATAGGCAAATCTTCTATTACCTCTTATTAAACAGAGGTAATAAAAGATTGACCAACATGACTTGGTGATAACCAAGGTTACCAAATTATTTGGCTCTTTATGCTTTTTGCTTTTTGCTCCATGCATGCATCAAGCCAATTTAAATAACCTAGGCCTGCCCCATTTGCACACAAAAAGACCAGGATGTATACATTAAAAAATAAATAAAATGTACTGCTCAGATCAATGAAGCTGCAATACTTTCAAATGCTAATTCGTTCCTAAACTTTTGGTTTTTCACTAAACTCTCTGAATGACCAAACCTACTGGCTCGTCCAGTTTTAGTAGGGATTGTTGCTTGTTTTTGAGGCATGTGTTGTTAGTCACGTACCTCCATCTATTCTATTTAATTAGCCAAACTTCCATTGTGAATTTTGCCAACGTTTCTTACAATAAAACTTTAGGGTTACAAAAATATCATTTTGCATTAGTCTTTATAGCTACTCTCTTCGGGTCAAATAATTGATATGGTGTAGATAATTATTGCAGTATATTTATTTGTGTATGAAAATGTACATCTAGATGGAGAATTTATGAAGCATGGACACCTCTCTAGAGGTTGCGTACAGGTGTCCGACATGTGTTAGACACAGACACGTGCTGGACACTAGGGGTGGGCGCGGGTCGGTTGCGGCCACGAAACCTCTAATCCGAGATTGGCGGATTGGAGAAAATCAATCCGCATCCGTCCGCCAATCCGGTGGATGTGGATTGAGCGGATTGGCGGTTTGACGGATGGATGCGAATTGGTTTGGCGGTTTAAAATTTTATAAATTTTTAACATAATTCAACTTGTGCACTTCTTCTTCTTCTTCAAAAAAAAAAAAGGTATTACAGTTAATGACATAAAAAAATATTACAATCACTGCATACCTCATCCAAAGTAAGAAAGTTTGAAACTTTAGAATATCACAATCACTGCATGTCTCATCCACATACTACAATCACAACATGCCTTATCCACATAAAGTATTACAATCTGTGGTTCTTAAAATATAAAAGCAATTCAAACCAACAAAACCATGAACAGAGCAGTAGTAGAGATTATATGTCTCTGTATTGTTACATCTATATCTGCTTTTAAAAACAAAAACCAACCAACATATATCATATTTTCTACTTACTATTTTTAGAGATAGATTTAAAAACAAAAAATATAGATAAATAATACGTTTATTTTTTTCAATTCAAAAAAATATTCAAGTTGAAAACTTTTTTTCAATAGAATATTTAAACTTTTTTTTTAATTGAAAACACAAACAAAATATTTAAACAAATTAAAAACACAAAGTCTTATAAATTACTAGGAATGTTTGCGGTTTGGCGATTCGGTTGCGGCCAAAAGAATCTCAAATCCGTCATCTGTCCGCCAGATTGGCGGATTGGAGAAAATCAATCTACAACCGTTCGCTCGTCATCACGCATCCGTCCAAAATGCGGCGGATCGGTTCGGTTCGGTCGGTTTTGGCGGATCGATATATCCGTTGCTCACCCCTACTGGACACTAGACACGTGTCAGACGTGCTGGAAAGAGTTGGACAAGTTGGGACTCTTTGTACACACTGCGGACATGTTGGGACACATTGAGGACACGCAATGGACACATTGAGAACACGCTAAGGACACTCTATGGACATGCTGAGTACTTTTTTTTAAAAAAAAAATTTAATTTTAATTTTTTTTACTAAAATAGCATACCTAAGGTTGATAAATTTGGTAAAATTAAATATTTGACATAAAATACATATTAAATATTTAAAAATATACATATGATAAAAGTATAAAAATATATATTTTGAATGTGTCCCCAACTTGTCGTGTCTTACGTTTTTTGGAAAGTTAAGTGTTCGCATATCCGTGTCTGTGTTCGTGCCTCTTAGTGGAGAATAGAATTATATAATGAAAGGAATAACTATGCTTATATATGCACGTGTATAAAAATACACATAATCACAATGTCTTCGGTAAGTCATCTAGCACAAGTGGTTGCAGTGGTGACCCATTGGCTTGGTCCCTTAAATTTGTTGATGTCTGGTATGGGTTTTGATAGATATGATATCAAGTGAGGACACATGGCCATTACATTTTTTAGTTGAAAATTGGACACAATGGAAGCATGCAAATATTAAGTGCATATATTTGTTGGATCCTTGTGTTCTAAAGCAAATGGATGACGAACAATCTCCTCCGCCAAGCAAGGAAGGAGGCTACAGTCATTCTCACACTTCACTTTTACTTGATAACTATGATATCAAGTGAGGACACATGGCCATTGCATTTTTTAGTTGAAAATTGGACACAATGGAAGCATGCAAATATTAAGCTCATATATTTGTTAGATCCTTGTGTTCTAAAGCAAATGGATGATGAACAATCTCCTCCGCAAAGGAAGGAAGGAGGCTACAATCATTCTCACACTTCACTTTTATTTCAAATATTTATACGATGAATACATACAATTGTTTTGCACTTTTTAGAATGCAATTTGTACATGAATGATATCTTGATGTTAAGATATATATGGATTTTTAATTTTAAAATGTTTTATGTTGCCTTTTTTATTACTTTTGAATAAACTGCTCATAGATTAACATATAATAAATTTATAAAACTGTAAAATTTAAACGTGTAGTAGGTGTATCATGTCCTACATTTTTTTTAAACATCAGTGTGTTGCATGTCTGTGCTACTTCAATCCTAGTTCACTTCCTCTCTTTTATGAAAGAGATTTATCATCCGCTTTTGATTGTCGTTACTGTTTTCGATCTTTAGCAACAACTTTAATTTTTTTGGTAGAGAATTGAACTTGTCTTGACTGTCAACAGCACAAGTATCAAGAGCCCAGTGTTCTACTTGTGTTAATATGATTGATGCTTGCTATTGTTTCTGTCAATATTCCGGGTAGTAACAACTGTTAATGATAAACTTTTTTTTGAAAACTGTTGATTTATGGTTCAAGGAATATTTGCTACTGAACTAAACTTTTTTTGAAAACCATTTGGTGTTTTTAATCTTTCATTGTTTTTGTTTATGAAAACAAGAAAAATGAAAATACCTAGTTGAAAACAATACCAAACTGAAAAGGTTGCGTCCGTACATGAATTTTTGCTGAAACATTTCAAGCACCAGGGTGCTTTTATAGCTTCCATTGCCTTGAACCAGTACTTCAGGCAGGACAAATCCAGGTGAAAACATTATGGCTCCTCCTTGGGTCCATTTATTATGGGAAAAAGGCTTGTTATTGTCAAAAAAGATGGCATGATGTTCAATTTTGAACTTTTCAATGAATAGTTAAACTTTGTGCTATATTTTAGCATTGTTAAATTTGTGCCAAATTTGACATTAGTTTTACCTATAGTAAAAATTTGACACCCTCTTTGTTTTACATCTCTTACGATGAGACTTTTGCATATAATATTTTTATTTTTGACATTTTGTGATAAAAATATTTTATTTAACATAAAAATATAATGTTTTTACATTTTGTGATAAAACATATAATATTTGTATTTAACATTTGCATCATTGAAATAACACTTCTAAAGTATAATAATTGAACTCTCTTTATTATTAAAATATAATATTTTGACACTATCAAAATAAAATTCCATAAGAATTTAAGGATGGCATCTAAGAAGCACTGACACTTCTAAAAAGGTGACGTATCTGTGTCGTGTCCGTGTTGTACACTGGCACTCTTAGGACATGTGTCCAACATTCTTCAAAACGTATCCTATTTTTTAATTTTTTTTTAAAACCTGGACATTATTTGGACACTTGGAGGACACACATGTCAATTGCTTAAACACATGTGTTTATCGATTAGACACATGTGAAACTAATTATAAGTTTGAACAAAACAACTTAAGACACAATAATAAAACAAAAACTATATAAATTTATAGGAATTAGTATCATATTATATTTTTTATTATCTTTGAATGATATATTCATATATATAACATATAATAAATATATAAAATTATATATTTCATACGTGTCTTCCACATGTCGTGTCCTGCATTTTTTGAAAATTAACGTGTTGGCATGTCCGTGTCGTGTCACGTCACGTGTTTGTCCATACTTCTTAAGATGGCATCATTCGAAGCTCGTCATCTCTCCTCCCTCCATTTCTCGGGAAATGAATGTTGTCAAAGATTGTGGCAGTGACTTCATTTTTGGGCCATTAGGAGGGAGGGGGAAAGGATTTGATACCCACTTCTTGGGCTCAATTCGAAGAAAGTTTAAGGCTCTGTTTGGTAGAACTTTGTAAAGTTAATTCCACCTCATGGTTTGAGTGTGGTGTTTGGTTACTGTTTTCAAAAATTGATTCCACTCACTTTGAAAACACGTCTACCCGGTCATTCTCCTGGACGTCTGGCCATTTGACTGGAACAATGTTCAGTTTTTTTTTTTTTACCTGCTATTTTTATATTTTAAATAAAAAATATTTTCGGAATTTAAAAAAAAAATTCTTATAAGCTTTGAATAGAATTTTGGATTGTGTATTTGATTATGAGTTGTAAGTTTTTTAATCAAATATCATATGTCACATCAAAAATTTCAAACTCAATTCAAAACTCATAACCAAACAAATTTTCTACACTCAAATCGTAATTCTAAAAATCACAAACTCAAAATACAACTCTATTATCAAATTATAATTCTAAAACTCTACCAGACGCTATCTAAATTGGGTCAAAAAGATTGTGGTAATGGTGTCAATGCAATGTCACATGATTGGTCGGAATTCACAATATAAGTTTGGGATTTGGATGCCAAACTTCTGCTAATAAAGAGCAAAACTCATAACTAAATAAATTTTTCACATTCAAATCATAATTCCAAAACTCACACACTCAGAATACAACTCTATTATCAAATCATAATTCTAAAACTCTACCAAATGCTACCTAAATTGGGTCAAAAAGATTGTGGTACTGGTGTCAATGCAATGTCACATGATTGGTCGGAATTCACAACGTAAGTTTGGGATTTGGATGCCAAACTCTTCTGCTAATAGAGAGCATGCGCCTATTTACAATGTCCATGCACGATTAATACATATCCAAAAATAACTTATCATCCATTGACCCAAATATCTTTACTTTTTTCGTTTTTTTTTTTTTTTTTTTTTTTTTTTTTTTTTTTTTTTTTTTTTTGCTATGTTCAAAGGAAGTTTCTGCTTAAGAAAATTTATACTATGCTGAACACCAAATGCAGGTAGATCAGAAATATCCAATCCATGTTTATTGGTTTGTTTTATTTCTTTTGGTAGATTCGACAAAGGTCCCTCTGTCATTGAAAATACATCAAAATATTCTGCTACTTTTTTCCCTTGGTTTCAGTTTATTATTGTATGTCCGTTTAATAAGTATATCTGGTAAAAAAAATGTTTGCCCATTGTGTACAGTTGCCAATCTCATTAGGTTGACTTGTATGACGTGTAAAAATTGGCAACAAATGATAAAATTGTATTGGGTGTTTTTGGTTATGCAGTCATCTGTGTGTTTGAAGCACTTGGCTTTTGACATTCTTGAGCTGCTGCTGTTGTCAGCATTCCCGGAGATGGATTATGTGTTCAGGCAGTTGCATGAAGAAAAGGAAAAGTTTGGGGAATTCAGACCTACTTAATGGCAATAATTACATGTTTCTCTTGATCACAGTTCAAGAGCAATTCTTTTTGGCCTTTTTTATGTTTCCTATTTCAGGCGTACGTAATTTGTTGAAGAACATGTAGCTGCAGCAACTTGTGACATGAAAATTGATTTTTGCAATTTCAATTGATGAAGGCAAACTCATGAGGTCAGACTTGGCCCCAGTTTGTAAATAGCTTTTAGTTTGCTATTTTGAGTAAAATTACATGTAAATCTCTAGATTGGTACAGATATCACAAAGATGTTTCTTTACCTGTGTAAAACTACTTATCTCTTAAAGACTATGTTCCTTGTTCACATTTCGTTTTTCTTCTCTTGCAACAAAGCATATTCTCATTCTTTCCTAGTAGCACTTAAATTGCAAGTTTCAAAAAGTTTTGTTTCGACTACTTATGAAGGTAGAGTGGGGAGTGTGAAATGTAAATAATGGAATTATTAAGCACCTTTTTTGAGATTTCTTAAACGAGTCACCCCTTTTTTTTGTAATGGTGGTGCTACATGCATCAATTAGTGTACCAACACTAGTTATAACATTATTATTGACCACACTCGTTAATCATATTACAAATACTAAAAATCTTCTAAATTATGCGACATCATCGATTGGTAAACTAGTTAGTATACTTATTGGTGCATATAGCACTCTTCTTTTTGTAATAATAATTTTCACACTCATCTTAATGGTAGAAAATGCACTTTGCAATGCTCTTCCCGTTGACGGTATGCTCTTTCTTTCGGGATTTTTCCCAAACTAAGCCTCTTTTGCATCCTATTTTCCAAACTAGGTCTAGTTTGGACGGAATTCCCAAACTAAGCTAAAGCGCTATTACAAATCGCGCTTTCACTGTTTGGAGTCCAAAATTTGATGAATAGTGAAAGCGCTATTTAATGGTTAAGAGTGTGGGTTGGGTGTTTGTGGGTGTGTGCGTATGTCAGAGGGGGTTGGTTTTGGTCAACAGTAGAAACGTTATTTCAAATAATGTTTTTTTAAAAAAAAAAAAAATTATATGCACAGTGAAAGCGCTATTTCAAATAGCGTTTTCTTTAGAAAATTTTTTTTATGTTAAAAGCGCGATTTAAAATAGCGATTTATTAATTAAAAGCGCATTTTACAATAGCGCTTTCAATATTCATCAAATTTTGGGCTTCAAACAGTAAAAGCGCGATTTGTAATAGCGCTTTAACTTAGTTTGTGAATTCCGTCCAAACTAGGTTTAGTTTGAGAAATAAGATGCAAAAGAGGCTTAGTTTGGGAAAAGCCCCCCCTTAAGAATGACAAAAACCAAAAATACAAAAAAAAAAACAAGATTAGGTGGAATCCAATTTCTTTACATACATTTACCCTCAAGTGGTTGCGTTCGCTAGGAACTCAGATTAATTTTGAAGTACATTTTGGATAGGGGAAATTCTAAACACATTTTGGATAGGGGAAATTTTATGGTGTGATTTGTACATGTTCCAATTATAATCTTTGTAGAGTTAATTATAATTTATTGTGATATTAGTTATAATTTATTATGATTATTATTTATATTATGATGCAAAAGGCCTTCGATTATGACATGTTATTTAATGTTTGGTTATGTGATGTTTAGTTACGACTTATTTTATTTATTTTTTAATTATGCCTGAAAATGATTTAGTTATGACATTTGTGGTAAACATCACAAATGTCATAATGACTATGTATGCATGACCCTGGATAAAGAACCTAACTATTTTCTTAAAACTTTTTGCTTTAACTTCTCATGCGGCATGATAAATTTTACTTTGGGCAAATTATGCTTTACCCCTCTCAGCTATCACTGTTTTTTGCTTTATGGTCATACTAAAAATTAATATAATGTATCCCGTGACCTTTTGAATGTTTTCAATTTAACTCTTATATTTCTATTTTGTTAACAAAATAGACGGAAAATACGCATGTAATGTGCATATGTTATATTTATTATAGATCTTTACATGATATTTTCGTCATAAATATAACATGCACATATTACATGTACTTTTTTTTATCTGTTTTGTTAACAAAATGAAGACATAAGGGTTAAATTGAAAACATTCAAAAAATGAAAGGATCCATTGTATCAGTTTTTAGTTTGAGAGGGTAAGGTAAAAAATAGTGATAATTGAGGAGGTAAAGTGTAATTTGCCCTTTTACTTTTAAATGGCACATAAGAGATTAGTTAAAACAGTAAATAAATACAATGATAAAAAATAAATAAATTCTTTTGAATAGGATCTGTTTTTCACGCACAAAAAGTTGCACCTAATTATTTGCAATTATTTGCACACATTTACTATTTCCCAATTAAAAATAAGGAGGAAAAAGTCTGTACAGAAACAGTAGAGGTAGCGGGGAAAATATTTACTAAAATGTGAAAATGTTCCTCTAGCGCAACTTCATACAGAGTTGCTTGCACCCTATATTTAATTTTAATCAATTAGGCTGATCTGTAATTTCCCCTTTAATAAAAATAAGGATAAATTACAAATACATTTTTTAAAATTTGTTTAAAATATGAATTACCTACAGTGGTTTGAAAAATTACAAATATCTTCCTATCAGATTTTTTTATTTAACAAAATTAATTAAAAACTTAAAAAGACCTATTTGTTATGAAATTAAAAACTTTAAAAGGCATAATGTAATTTTTAAAATTATAGAAGATAATTTGTAATTTAAATAAATCTCAAAGAGTGGGTTGTAATTTACCCTAAAAATAAAAACCAAAAATTGGTGCCAGACTGACAGTGTCTAGATGTGTAATCACAATCTTTCAACAGGTCCAACTACGTCAGCCAAATCACTTGGGCAACATAAAAATGTCTCCAAGCATATTCTATTCTAGCCCTCGTTGGTGGCACACAGCATATATCCTAATGATTCAAGCCATAAACTAGCATTCACCATGCCAACTTCAACCAAGTTCATTATCACAGAAAGAGCAATAATAGTAATAATATTCCTTGGTTTCACATTACAAATGTGTAATGGATTTTCTTCATCAAAGAGGGAAGAAGGTAATCTATTACCATCTTGAAAAAAGCTAAAAATACGAAGGAATAATCAAATCGAGTTCATGAATTTATTCCTTTGTCTACATTGATAAGTTATAAAAAGACAATTCATGGTTCATATGCTTGAACTTACTAAGAATACGAAGGAATAATCAAATCGAGTTCATGAATTTACCTAGGTCAGATTATAGACCAATAAGGAATTTTTATCTTCGATATCCATTAGAAGGGTCAATGTGCAAGATATCAAATCATACATAAATGATTGAATAGGCAGGCACCCTGAAAATGCTATGAGGTGTTTGGAGCTATGAAGTCCACTCCTACAATACGGTTTGGGCAAAACAAAAAGAGAGTCCACAAAAAACAGAGATTCTTGGAATTTCAGTACACAAACGCACTCTATAACAAGTTATACTTCCTAAACTGGGTGGTCATGGTCAATTCACTTGATGAGTTGATGTCTTAGATCTGCGAGTCATCTAGATATTAGATACGTAGGTCCAGGTATTATAGCAAATAAAACTGATTATCATCAAAATCATAATATCTATAGACTCGACAAAATGGGGATTCAAAACAATAATCATCAATCTGTATCTAAAACTCAAAATCAACAGTTTATCAAAAGAACAAAAGCACAAGCTCAATATTGAATTGGAGTAACACCAAACAAATGATGTTCCCAAAAATTTGTCTGTTCCAACACTTGAACACACCAAATGAAACTATAATGCATGTACCCCATCAAAATCATGCCCACTAAAAGCCTTGTCATCCACTGCCTCAAGCAGGAGGTGCCGATCCTTTCTTCCTCGGAGCTGCTTCAGTCCCTAGATGAACATACACCAAAAATTTCAGTAAAAAACAAAAAGGATATACAAATACATATACATACATTTAAGGTTAATTCACTTTTACTCCTTAAATTATGAAGCACGGATACTTCAAAAAAGAAAACGTATCCGTATTGGATCCTTATCATACACCGATACTACTTGGATACTCGTGGATACATATCGGATACTTCTTAAAAGTATTTGATATTTCTTAATTAATTTTGGAGTATTGGATACTTAATTTTGATGTGTCGGATACTCAAAATCACATATTACTTATAATATTTTGTTTAGCTCTTTAATAAGAGGAATATAGTGACACTTAAAGTAGTAGAATTTATCAAATTGATGTATCCTTATTGTCTCTCTCACTTCTCGTTTCTCTCCTCTCTCGCTCTCTCATGTTTCTTCTCTCTACTTGTTCTTTTTTTGGTGTTGGCATATAAAGATGATGTTTAATTTGCATTTGCATTTGCTTTTAGTTTTGGATATTTTATGAATGTTTGAAGACTCTTAACTTAATAAAAATCTCTTTCTTTATTTATTAGTTTGCTTTAAAATTTATTTTCATGCATATTACATTATATAAATTATAAAAATAACTTTTTTTTAATGAACGTATCCTTGCCGTACCCGTATCATACTTTTTCAAATTTTGGCATATCTCCGTATACATATCCCCGTATTGCTGTATCCACTTCCTGGGTAGAGAAGAGAGGTGGCATTGGTGATGCGGGGATTAGGGTTTGGATGGAAGAAGATGGGGAGTATTATGAAATTTTTATTCCAGGACAACTGTACGAAAGAAAATTTTCATTTAAGTGTGTGAATTGAGGGAAATTAATGTGTGGAAATAAAATTACCCCAACTAAACACTTATCTTTTTACTTGCACTCCACAAACAAATAGTCAAGTACTTCTAGAATCCTCATTTCAAAATAGCAAATATGTTTAAATTTTGAAATGACATTTTTATTAATCAAAGTAGGCGATAAATGTTACAAATTTGGAGAACCATCAACAACATCAAATTGATCATATTATCTAAAATTAGAAACTTGAAGAACAAAATGAATGGAATTAATTAATAGTTTACAAAAATTAACCACAGCATACATATAAAAATGAAATTAACCCTATTGAAAAATGTAAGGGGGTGGGAGGTATCACCTTCTCTGAAACCACTCTTGAATCTGCGAGGTACGTTGCGGAGGTACCTCATACGACCTGTCCCAGTCGTCTTCCTTCGGATCGCCTTCACACTCCAGTTATCTGAAAATGCATTTGAACACCCATCAGATCCAAATACATACATACATACATACATACATATATATATATATATATATATAGAGAGAGAGAGAGAGAGGGCTTACATGTCCTCTTACGGGCAGCAGGGAAAGCACAAGCAGAGCATCGGCTCTTCTGGAGATGAAAGCTGCGGCGGCCACACCTCACACAGAGCGTGTGGGTCTTGTTCCTTCTCTTACCAAAACTCCCTGTTCCCTTCCCCTGTTTCCATTCATCCACTTCTATAAGCCCTTACACATATATTTGTATGCATAGAGAGAGAGAGAGAGAGAGAGAGAGAGAGAGAGAGAGATTACCATTGTTGCGCAGCTGCAAGAAACCCTAGACCTGTGAAAGCTGTTTTGGAGGAGAAGATACAATATATATGGTGAATGTAAGTGAGTTGAGAGGTTTAGGGTTGAATCAAGATTCCATCCTTGACTTTCCTTCTCGACTTTTTACTGGTTGGGTCATTGAGCTCACGTTCACGTTTAGACCCAATTTCATGATCCAATTCGTTTTCATTCTGAATTTTGGTGAGTATATTATATTTGTAAAAAATATTAAATTGATCGGATATCAGAAAGTATTCATATCATTGAATTAATTTTTTTTTTTAAAAAAATTAATAAATAGTTTTTCAAACACGTATTTTTTGATATCCAATCAATTTATTTTTTTATATGTATAATACACATAAAAAATTTAAAAATATAAACGATTCGAATCATCAAAATTAAGCCCAAAACTAAGCCTAATGACCCAACAAATATGATTCATTTATGTTATGTTTGGTTGAGAGATTTGAGCAGGGATTTGGAAAGGAAAAGAGAAAAGGTGTGTGAAACTAGATGAAATGTAAGTATATTTTATTCACATTTCACCTAATTTTTCTTTTTCTCTTTTCAAATCTATTCTCAAATCCCCCAACCAAACACAGCGTTAGAGTTGGCCACGTTGAATCTTGCTGAGCTTTCAGACGGGCTTCAGCCCAGTTTCACCCATAATGAGCTGGGCTTTTGGATGCAGTAAAGGCCAACAAGCCTAAACTGACCCAATTTATGGAGAGGGCCGATAATTCATGGTTGGCCTTACAATTCAATTATAAGAATAAGTTACACTAATCTCCCTTCAAATTTGGAATCTCATAAATTTAACATAATTAAATTGAGTTCTTTTAAGATTTTAATTCAAATAAAACTTAGCTTCCCTTTTTATCATAAATTCATTAGTTTTATGAATAAAAAAATTAATATTATCATCTCTTTTATATTAAAATATATATTTTATATTTTTTTTATCTTTAAATTTTTATTCTATTAATATTAGTTTCGATCTCTTTAATCTAACTAAAATAAGAGTTAGTATAATTATGTTAAAATTGTGAGTCTTTTAATTTTTTTTCAAACCTAACGGAGGTCAATGTACGCTAATTATAAAGTATAGTTGCTTTTTTTTTTTTTTTGGGTTACACAATATGAATCATTATTAGTTTGTTAGCAACCAAAACAAAGGGTGTAAAATTTTTCTTCCTAAGATTTAAATCCACGAGATAGGCTTCTCATATGGATAGGAGGGTATTGTTCGACCCAGTAAGACCCATCATAAGTTCATTTTGGTAATCCAAATAATTTAATTTGTAAGATATTTTGTTTATATCATTTATATAAAAAAAATGTCGATCCAATAATCACAGTTTATTTAGTAATACATATATCTCCAAAAACAAAATGAACGATATGTATCTTTTTTAAAAATAGATAATTTTTTTTTTGAGGTAAAAAATGTGATAAAATGAAGATATTATGATTATTGTATCGACCCCTTTTTTTTAATGATATACATGACCTTATAAAATAAATGATTCACATAATCAAAATGAGACTCGTGATGAGTCTCACAAGTCCAAACAACACTCTAAAGTGAAAATCTCTACCTAAATCCACAACCTTACAACACAATTAATCAAGGGCAAATTACACAAATAGTCTCTATAGTTTGGGGCTTGTGTTACTTTGGTCTCTAACTTTTCAATTGTGACACATTTGACCCTGAATTTTGAATCTTGTTCCAAATAAGGACAATTGAAGATATCATTAGATTTTTCAAGAGTAAAATTGTCAATTTGATAAAATATAAACTAATTTAACAAAAATAAATGTTAAACAAATATTTTTAAAATTTTAAAATTATTTCTACCCACCAAAAATAAAATTATGTAAAATTGATAAATCTTTTAGACATTTATTTATTTACTAAATTAATTTTTATTATGTGTTTGAATAATGATCATGTAAAATTAATTTTAAAAAATGTATCATGTAATTTTTATTAATTTTACATAATTTTATCATTGGTGGATAAAAATAATTTTTAAAAAATTAAAAATATTTTTTTGACATTTATTTTTGTCAAATTAGTCTATATTTTATCAAATTGACGATTTTACCCTTAAAAAATCTAATTATATTTTTAATTGTCCTTATTTGGAACAAGATTCAAAATTCAGGGTCAAATGTATCACAATTAAAAAGTTAGGAACCAAAGTGACACAAATCCCAAACTATAAGAACTATTAGTGTAATTAACCCATTAATCAACCCCATATTATGTAGATATAGAGCATATTTAGTATGATGGAATGGGTTGAAATAAAATATTTATGTAATCTTTATATTTTTTTTCCCACGTTTGGTACACCTTATATAAGTGAGAATAAACATTCTAATAGAATAATCATTTCAATAGAAAGTTAAAATACACAAAAAGTTGAAATGCCTAAAATACACAAAAAGTTGGAATACCCATCCAAATAGGCATTCTATTCAATCATGGAGTCATCTTATATAACAAGTGTCTATTGTTATGTTAGCTACCACCCGAGTGCGTTCCACAGTTTAGACCATCGAGTAGGGTAAAAGTCTCTTTTTAATTTTTAATCCACTTTTCTTTTTCATAAAAAAAGTTAAAAAAAAAGTCAAAAAGCAGTTTTTAACTATTTTTCCAAAACAGCGATCTCTTAAACTTGTTTCACTAGTATAATGTGAAACGGAAAATGAAAGTTCAAATTTGACAACTTTATAGAAAAATAAATTTAATCGCAAAATATGCAAAAAAAAATTGATTACATCACCAGATCTCAGAATTGTCACATAATCTTTTTAGAAAGGTAAGAAACTCGTGACTCGTACCAAAAGCCAGTGTCCGTTATAACCAGAAATGCCTTGATTTGGGAATTTAGGTATGAGGGAAAAGGTCATTAAATGAGCACCCTCGCTCACCCGATCAAAGATCGAGCTCCATTAAATCATAATATGAGTTTTATAAACAATATGTGCTTATTTTCTAATTATTAATTAATACTAAAAATTACTATGTGAAGCAATCAAGTATAAATTGTGTCATCCATTTTGGAATCTTTTGATCCCATACATTTTAAAAGAATTTTGAAATACGTATAACTCAAATGAAATTGAGCCCACGGTCAAAAGAATCAATAATATTTCAAATTGAACGACATAATCTTCATCCATTGGTAATCATAGAGATATATCAACTAAGCATGTAATCACATGGTAGAATGCTAAACATAATAAGAAAAATCATGCACAGACGGAATGCTAAAGTTATAAATGCTCACTTAGTATTTATAAGTGTCCCACGAAAGAATGAACTAAAAAGTTAGCAAAATATGCATGATTCTATATGCAAATTCTAATGCAACACATACACAATAATGCAACTATAGATTCGGCTACTATGTATATGACATGTGAGTTATCTCAAAGTATAAGGTAGCATACAAAATCATATAGGAAATGATAAGTCCACAAATGCAAATGACCCGAATCCGAATGCATGAAATTTGAGTGCATGAAATATGTATACAAGGCATGAATATGATAAAAAGAAAACGTGTGTAGACATCCCCGAACGTCCCGGGAGGGAATCCCGTTTTGTTCATATGGGCTTACTACAGTTCGGACTCAAATGTCACGGTTATGTATCTAATCTCGCAGAGTGCAATGCAAGACCGATGAATCATCAAAGAGTCCAAATCCGGCAAATCGTTTTTGAAAATAGATTTTTTTTGAAAGAAGTGCCAAACATGGACTTGCTTTGTCAAATAAAGAGTCGCCACCTAATATTTTATTTTGGGGAATTTAGGAAACCCTAACTCGTTTGCCTAAGGCCACGTGTCCGTCATCACCACAGTTGCCTCGGCTCGGGAACTTGGGTACGATTGGGGAAGGTCACTTCGTAAGCACCCCCGCTCGCCCGATCAAAGATCGGCCTCTACTAACCATGATATCAAATTTTGAAAACATTAGTCTTATTTTGGTTATTAGCCTAGATTACTACGTGATGCACACAGCATACAAGCATAGATTGGATCGCCTGAATTGGAACAAACACCTCATGTTGCTTTTGAAACGATTTGTTACTCGCAAGTAGGCTAAAATGCAAATTTGCCACCCTCAGGTGGGCTTAGAAAACAAGATGATTTGTCACTCTCAAGTGGGCTTAAACTCACAGTAAAGCATATCCAATTCAGATACCAACCTTCACCCACAGGCATTCAGGCAGGTATATCACATAAGCACATAGCCTCATGGTAAGCATGCTATCATGGCAATCACTCACACGCATGCAAGCATGCTAAAGCATAAATACTTACCGAGTACTCCAAGCCAAATCAGAAACTAGTTAGTAATCAATACATGATCCTAGTTCATGTTAAGATGGCTAATGCAACACATGCAAAATGCAAGTAGAAATAGGCTCGGTTATCCTAAGAATGGCATATGAGATGCTACAGCTAACACGTATTCAACTTGGAATTGGAATACAATGCAGTTAGTATGATGCGTTGAGCCCGGTGCATACAATACAGATGAATGATGCAAACATGCAAGCATAAGTATGCTAATTGAAACATGCCCTAATCTAACCATCATAAGCTGGTAAATAAAAGGGAAAAAGACGTGGGGTTGGAAGACATACATCACACACACGCACACTTATTACAATTGTGCCCTCGCTCGGAGGGTCTGAATAAATAATATACAACCAACTAGCTAATCTAAGCTAATTAAACTAATTGTTACATAACCTTAATTAATAAACAAATTAACTAAGAAAGCAAATGAATTAGCATGCAAGCTAAATGAATGGACTGCCTCAGCTCTGTATTGAATGATGATGCATGCGTGCTCGAGTCGTCTTGTCGGTAAATTCCATCACGATGCCTCGCCTCACCCTTGTTTGCAATTGATCTCAGAAACTTGCACAAAGCTCCAGAACGCTGAAACTCCACCTTGGGAAGGCCACCGACCAGTTAATAGCATGGGAGACCACCTGCCGACCACCCTTTGTGGTGGAGACCAAAGAGGGTGGTCGGCCTGCCAGAAAATCTGGTCGACCGACCAGTTTCCACCTCTGGTTTCTGATTTTTCTACAACAAAAGCAAGAGAGA